AACGCCGCGCCAAGCCAGATGACGAGCAAGCACAATATGAGAGCAGATTGTGGTGGCTACTGTACACCGCACCTTGTCTTCCGATCGGCCTGATCGGTTTCGCGTGGACTTCGTCTGGACCCCCTCTCCATTGGATTGGAACGATGGTTTTCGCAGCCATTGTGGGTATCGCCAATTACAGCATCTATATGGCGACGATTGACTACATGATATGCGCCTACGGGCCTTACGCGGCCTCCGCCACCGGCGGCAATGGATTTTCTCGCGATATCCTGGCTGGTATTCTTACTGTGCCGGCGACGCCGTTCTTCACAAGTACGTGTTAAACCCTGAGGGGTTACCACTTCATGAAATGATGCTAACCGAAATTGACAGATATCGGTGGTAAACGCCATCTCGAATATGCTTCAACCATCCTATGTGAGTTGTACCTGGATCCTGTGTCTTACAATAGAAAGTTTTCTGATTGGTATTCCCTGCAGTCTGTATTTCCGTCATCCTTGTGATCTCCGTCTACGTGATTTACTGGTACGGCCCAACCCTCCGAAAGCGCTCGCCGTTCGCGCAACAACTTTCCAACGCTCGTGCCGAAGGTGCTGTCAATAGCCGCCGGCCATCCACGGCGAATCTCGGATCAAGGACCGCATCGAGAAGAAACAGTCTTGTTGGCGGATCTCGTGCAGCTTCGCGCAGGAACAGTCTGGTGGCCGGATCTCGGGCGGCGTCGCGACGGAACAGCGTGACTCGGTGAGAGTCATAAATGTAAACATATGAGCTATGAGGTCTATGTTCTTTTTTTCAATGCTCCTTGTGCTATGTGGTTTGAAACAGAACCACTATGCCTGATGCAAGGGCTCGCAGATATGATGTACCTGGATTCTGAAACGTGTATAATAATATCAATTCGATGCCAGATACCCCATGATGCTAGTACGGACTGAGATGTGTTCATTCATGTTGGCTTGATGGTAGGGTCGGACCATGACCATGTCCATATCATGTCCATATCATGTCCATATCCGTAAGGATCTAAACGCCTCTGCAGAATCAGCCCAGAGGAGAGTTGCACCGGAAGAGCCTCTAGACTAAGAAACCACCCACATATATGACTTTTCAGTCACTGAATCACCGTCCTCTTTTCTCATTCACTGCCTGGGCCACACATAAGCCTATCCGCCATCATAATGATTCGGTTAAACATATGAGACTGGCAAAAAGAGGCTGTCTGTCATCGATACCTTAGTTCTGCCGCCACGCTGGCGCCTCATAGCCATCCACAACCTGCCTATACAGACTATCTTCGGATCTGTACCAGATGGTCATATATTGTAGAGAATACGTAGTCACTTTCGTCTAACTGACATAGTTGCAAAGACTATAAGGTAGAGAGGACACTAGTTGCTCGATGACACTGTCCAGATAACTAACAACACAAAACTGTAGGCTGAACTCTACACTACTGCCTGAAATTCTAAATTTGATGAAACTCGTCCCGCCTGAATGTATCAAGGAAATCATACGAGCGTAGCTGAAAATATTGACTGGGATCTTGGATAGTTCTACTTATAAATCTCTGCACAGCTGTGATTAACAACACTAGCAATTGTGAGCGCTCGATATGATGCCTTAGGCATCGCCACAGGCAGGCATCTGAGACAGTGCAACGAGGCGTACGCCTCGTTAAGCTGTTCAAAAGACCTACACCTCGCCTGCCCCTTTATCTCATTTAGATATTCATTCATGAGATAGACGTTGAATTCAAGCAATCAATATCGTCAAATTTAGTCCCATATTGTTCCCCTGAACCTACGTTTTCTACAGCAATTTGTTTCTTTGTGAATGCAGAGAAACAAACCTATTGGGTGGATGAGTCATCTTAAATGGAAAGCACGTCGATGACTCTACACTTCACCAGCAACGGGACTTTATACCTCTTCAGAAGAGTCAGACGAGTCAGACGACTCGTTAGGGTTGGAGAATGAGCTTAGCTGTTAGCTGATCAGTTGTCAGATGGCAAGCTTGCCGATGAACCGGAAACATCTTTGTGTGTTTGTCCTCGCATCGAAACCGGCGTGACTTGGGCTTGTCTCACGAACTCACGCTTCCCTTAATTTACTATGGGATCCAGATTGATGTAGAGATGGTGTTGTATGAGTTATCCTTTGATTGACCTGTTTGAAGGTGTACGACCTGATGGGTTTTTTCAACCCTAACAAAGGATCCCTGTGTCTGCCTGAGGCTGTCAGGCATCAACAATATCCCGTTTTTCTGACGATCAAGAGGGCTTAAACCTCTGGTCTCTCCAAATTCTCTGAATATTCTGTATTTCCGAAAACTGAAAGTAGTGAGTAGTGACTTGATACTTTTCGTTAAGATTTTACGTAAAATCTATTTCGTAGCCGGTTTCCTCTCACTGCGTGCGTGTAGCAGATCTTTCGTTGGTATATAGCTTAGCCAATCGTTATATATTTTTATGCAAACTTAATGTGCGAGTAAAGCTTGCAGCCTGAAGGACCCTGTAGTCAGAGGCTTAATGCCAATCTCAATTCGTAATCTACGAAGTAGCTCTTCCCATGCAGGCGACCTAAAATTCTACTACGCAAGGGCGATGTAGATCTCGCATCATATCAAGGCAAGGGAAATTTGATCAACTCAAGTCATCTCGTTACATACTCCGGAGTAGAGTAAGTTTTTCGTATACATAGTTAACGGCATTACTCAAAAATTATTGATTGAAGATAGACCTCCCACAGCAGACAGGGCCAGTTTCTACAAGCCAGAGAAGTTAGATTTAATTCATCAAGAGTCTGTCTCTATTCTCCCGATTCATAAATCGACTTTGTGTGTTTGCACCAGTCAGCAAATGAAACAAAGGTCCTTGGCGTCAGATCTTATGGAGTACATGATTCGGCTGAAATAGTTTCCTGTTTCCATCCCACAAGCCCACACAAGGTCCCCCTTACGGAGTTTAGTTGCTGTTAGCTTAGCTACTCTGCTAGTAATAGTATGCCGCCCCGGAGCTCAGCGACGGCTCCGACGTGCCCAGAGCCAGAGATCCAGAGGCCCAGAGTCCAGAGGTCCAGACGGGTGCGGAAATTCGCTCATTATTTGCGAGATCGCCGTTGCCTGAACCGATCTCCCGCCGGCATCACGTCACCTTTGCAAAGACCCACGAGCTTGAAACGGAATAAGACGACATTTGCCGCGAGCTGCCACAGAGATTGCATGAGAGCTCGTCAGCTTGATCGACTCCGGTGCCTTACTTTGCGCGGAGGGGCAGGGTTATGAGGTAAGATGCGGACGGAATGACATAGTTACACCGTTTGGCGTGCTCATTGTGTAGACTCCCAGTACGGAGTACGGAGTAGTCTAGTTACCCCATATGATGGTACACCCTGCCACACACCATCGTAGCCCTAAGTCTAGGGCTATTAGATGATCAAGCAATTGCATAATAGGGGGTGGATCTTGTACTACGGGCGGTTTCGTCTTAGGGCTAGAAGCTAACAGCTAACAGCTCTCAGTAGGAGACTAGGAGTACTATCCGAAGCGTGCTCCATCGTCCAAAGTACCTTGGAGTCTTAGACTTCCTTGTTAGACATGTTCCAGTCACCAGGCACTATTTGTTCTCTCCACCCTTAGTATGGATACTATAGCACAACTTGAATTAGCACTCCGGATAGTTGGCATTAATTCCTCAGGCCCATAATCGAAATGAAGACTCCATCGCGAGAAACGTCCAGAAGGTGCCCCCAAGCGGCTAAGACCGGGCAAGAAGAAAAACCCTGAAACTAACCGGATTGCACTCGCCCCTTACTTGATCGGACTCCGCCCTCAACCCTAAGTCGGGGCGGCGATGGGCGATGAAAAATTTTCATCCCTTAATCTGCATTCTGCATTCGGCAATAATAATGAATAATGAATAAGACGGAGGAGTGTGTTGGCAAGAGACAAGAATAAAAAATAAAAATAATAAAAATCTAGCGCCGATCGGACCGTACGGCAGCATCCGGGAAATCACGGCATCGATGGCCGCTCGAGGCTCGTCCATTCGCTCCTGGTCGGGGCCGACAGCGGCAGGACGAGAATTTGCCGTCAGACCACTTCACGGAGTCTACTCCCAGTTTCCCAGACTGTCAGAGGAAGTGGCAGCAAACTTGCAACGTCTCCTGATCGTCATGCAGCCGAATCCTTGCAATTTGCATCGTTAGTCCCCCGAGTTAAATCGGTGCATCCACCCTAGCTTCGCTTCCCGGATGGCTTGATGTGTGCATGTCTACATGGTGTGCTTTCACTGGGCACACAGGATTCATAATTTTCATGTTCAATGTCGAAGAAATGGCAACATCCACGGAATTAGTCAAGAATCAAATTTTTAGGACCGAAGACCGGATGAGTCAGGCAGCAAAGCACGACATGGACAAGTCGGCCCTACGCAATCCCCTAACTCCATGAGGCCATTTTTCACCATCGTCATCCGCCGGGATGACTTTGTTAGGCAACTTAGGGTTCTAGATTTGCAGGCAGTGGAGTTGGCATTCCCGTAAAAGGGGTGGATCCACTCCGGATGAATGAGTTTTCGTGCTGGTTTGGGGCTTCTTTATTTGTCGATTTTTTTCATTATGGGTTTGATTTTATTTTTATTTTTATTTTTATTTTTTATTTTTTATTTTCTTTCAGTCCGTTACCCGATTGGGACATAGTGAGTCACACCACAGCAGCCAACTCATCCCGGCAGGTCGGAGGGCCCTTTGTATATATTCTCGCCCTCGTACTTCTGCCTCCCCGACGAGCTTTTCCCTTCCCACCTCATCTCATCCTGTCAAGGGGGTGATGGTCACTCCCCTCCTCACGTCTTGACGCCCGTTACGTTTCCATTCACCTACTCTATCTACACCTTCGATCTCCGTTTAGGTCCGGGGAGGTATATACGAGAAAACACAAAGAAAAAGAGGAAGAGAAAGAGAGGTCCTACATTCGCCTTCTCCAAAAGTTAGAGGATGGGCCAGAGGCACAACAGACGCCGTACACGACCACGATCTCGCAATCGCAGCATCAACATCATCCCCGTCGATCCGGTTTCTACTTCCCGTCGAACCTCCGCTATCGGTGACTCACTGGACGCCATATCGATACACCCCGCCCCGACCTGGCACAATGGGTATATAATGTGGCAGAAACGTGAGCGCACCCCGCGGTTTGAGTCCACCAAGATGGAAGTCGAGCAGTATCGCCTCTGCGGGGGTGAACCGGGTGATGATGTCGGCCTGTGTTATCGCATGCTGGAATACTTCGATGGACTGGACTATATGAATACGTGAGTACCCTCGTCGGATGGACATCCCTATCGATCACCAAAGTCTGACTGTTGTCGTTCCAGATCCCAATTCATAACTCCATTGCCGGGATGACTAGCCAGGTCCAGCATGTGGCCGTGGCTTCGCTGCCTCGATTCCCAAAAAAGTTTCATTTTCTTCTTATCCTGAAAAAAGGATTAAAATTTGAAGGGGTTTCTTTAAAAGCAACAAAAAAGATCACAAGGCAAATCCACCGTTGGATACCAACCGGGCGCCTGTCTGCATTACCACCATCGGCAGACATGAATCTTCTCACCGAATGCCGGGGCACCAGTTTCCATGGATCCCTTGAAGTCGCCGACTTGCAGCAATGAAGATGCTCCCCGAGTGAGCATCGGATTGGTCCTACAGACTTTGCCATGCGATACCTGGTGCAGAGATTCCACTGCGTGTTAGCGACGTTGAGAGCCACCGTTCTAGAGCACGGCTGTCTTCGTCGGTTGAGTTCGCGTTTGGTCTTTGGTCGACGCTTGAATTCCCTTCGCAGTGGTCGGGCTCTTGGACGGCCTCAGTGTTTGCCATCCACAGCACGCAGGGATCTCGTTCCCGTCAGTCCGTCGGGATCTTCTGCCACCATCCGACACCTATAGGAGGAAATCGGTCTGAGCAACATCACTGTTTTTTCCCTGTTTATTTTTGAGTGAAAACCAGATATCCGGTTTGGTTTAGGAAAATCAAGCTCAGACCTTGCCTGATACCCCTGTTCAATCCAGTAAATAGTTGTACAGATATTAATTAGTGCACAATTCACAAGAAGCGGCGGATTATCGACGGAAGTATAACCTGTGAGATGCGCCGCCGTTTAATTCAATTTTGAGTCTATCTAAGGTACGGAGTAGTCAACGGAGTAAGAACGACCACAAAAGTAGAAAAGTTGCGGCGAGGATGACTCAGCCTCCGTCCCGAAAGACCCTTCGTGGCCTGAAGATTGTGGCCAGCACACCCACCTCCAAGGGGCAGGCGGTGAGGCCAGGGTCGCCCCGTAAAGGACACGGTCGATCAGAAGTGCCGATACGATAATAATCACTCGCAACCTTGAGATGCTGCGTATCGGCCGGCCTTCTCTTCCACTCTTTTGTCCCTGCTGAAGAGAGCATAGCATGCCCATGTGCTTAACCTTTTGATTCCATTTCAACGCATCTGTTATCCTCCGCAGGAACTTTCCATCTGATCGACTCCGGTGTCCGAGGTTATTACTCTCTTTGTCCTGCCCATCGCGGGCGAGTTCTGCAGTGAACCCGCTTCACCATGTCGACAGACTACACTTATGATGACAAGGTCGGTCTCCCAGTTATAGCAGCTGTCTTGGAATATGCCAGTTAACCTTTTCTCTAGGGGCAATTCTTCCCGTTCTTCATCTTGACGATCTCCGGTCTTGTCACTCTCCCTTTAACATACAACCTCCTCAAGCCGAGCAAGGGTAAGTAGATCTTTTTTCTCGCGTTCTCTCTAGTCTAGAGACTGGTCGCGTCTGACACTGGTGCTGGAAACAGAGCTTGAGAACACCGCACCCCGAATAAAATCGGATTTCAAGCCCGAACATGGCGACCTTATTGAGGCACAGAAGCGGAAACGCCTGCGGAAGGAGCGTCGCATCAAGCGCATAGTCACCGTCATCCTGGGATACGCGGTCATGGCCTGGATGGTTTACCTGATCGCGGTCACGGCGAGAACGTCAGCCAAGATCTGGGATCCCTATGACATTCTGGGTGTCTCACGAGTTAGTCACTTTGCGTTCTATCTTTCTCTGAACAATGCCTAACTTAGGTGAAATTACAGAGCGCCGACGAGAAAGCCATCTCCAGACACTACAAGCGTCTCTCTCTCGTCTACCACCCCGACAAGATTCGACCCGATCCCGCCAAGAACGAGACCATCGAGACTCTGAACGATCGCTTCGTTGAACTCACCAAGGCATACAAGGCGTTGACCGACGAGGAGGTCCGTAATAACTACATCCAGTACGGTCATCCCGATGGCAAGCAAAGCTTCAGCATCGGCATTGCCCTCCCCCAGTTCATTGTCACGGAAGGAAACGGAAAGTTCGTCCTGTTGGTCTACGGTGGTTTGCTCGGTGTCCTTCTCCCCTACATTGTCGGCAAGTGGTGGTATGGCTCGCAGCGATACACCAAGGAACGAGTGCTGGTCGCTAGTGCCGGAAATATGTTCCGCGAGTACAAGGACGACATCACCGACGGCGGTATCGTGGGCGCTCTGTCCGCTGGCGACGAGTACAAGGAGTCGTTGAAGGGATCGCACGCGGAAGCTGGACTGGCGAAACTTGAGCAGAAGGTTCTGGCAGACGATTTCTCGGTTCTGTCGGAGCAGGATCGCAAGAAACTTCAGGGACTGGATGATTCCACTCGTCGCAAGGCACTGGCATTGCTGTGGGCTTACTTGGGCCGCATCGACTTGGAAGATTCCACCCTTAACGGGGGTAAGTTTATCTATGGCTGTTTGAGTCCAATCATGATCGAACAAATTCTCACTCGTCACAGAAAAATACGAAGCTGCTCCTACGGCGCTTGCCCTCAACGAAGCTTTCACCGCCATTACGCTCGCTTTCGGTAACGTTCGTCCCATCCTGGGATCGTTCAGATCATCGCAGCACTTGATTCAAACCGTGGCCCCCGGATCGTCCCCGCTTCTGCAGCTGCCTTACTTCACCGAAAAGATTGCCAAGTCCATCGAGGGCGAGGAATCCAAGGAACACTACAGCGTGCAGAAGTTCATGAGCCTGCCGGAAGAGAAGCGTCGTAGCCTCACCGTTGGCGCTGGTCTCCTGTCTGAAACCCAATATGCCACCGCCGTCACTGTCGCCAAGCAACTCCCCGCGCTGGAAGTCTCCAGGGCTTTCTTCAAGGTTATGGGCGAGAAGGTCATCACGCCAAGCAGCTTGGTCCAGCTCGTTGTGAAGGCACGATTCATCCCCCCCGGTTACACCAACGTCCCCGAAGTCAGCGCCGCGGATCTCGAAGACGTCGACCCCGACGAGGATGATCTTGACGCTCTCATGGAACGAAAGAAGAAGGGTGACAAGGGCAAGGAATCCGTCCAGCCTCCCCTGGCTCATGCTCCGTACCTGGCCCGCGACCACTCTCCCCGGTGGCACATCTTCCTGTCGGACGCCAAGCAGGGCAAGATGGCCGTTCCTCCCTTCACCTTCACCACCTTCGACAAGCCCTTGTTCGACGAATCCGGCAAGCCCACCTTCAACGTTCAGACCCTTAAGATGCAGTTCCAGGCTCCTCCCCAGGTTGGAGACTTCACATTCGCCATGAACATGCTCTGCGACAGTTATCTCGGTCTCGACACCAAGTTGGAAGTTACGCTGCACATTGACGACCCTGCCAAAGTAGCCGCTCTGGAAGTGGAGGATGATATCAGTGATCCTGAAGAAGGTTAGTTCCTCTTAACCCCCCTTTATCTCTCTACTAGAAAACTAACGCACAAATCCCATCAGACTCCATCGCCGGCCAGATGCAAGCCCTGAAGGGCGGTCAGACCAAGAAACCCAAGAAGCAGGATGCCGATTCCAGCGAGGAAGAGAGTGACACCGACGGAGATGCAGGCGATACCAGCGATACCAACACTGAAACCGATGTCGATGATTGATTTCTTTTAACCTGTTAGATAAATGGTGCGAAAACAAACAAACAAACAAAAAAGTCAAATTTGAGAAGAACTTTTGTGACATGACCAACCAACCAAACCCGCAAGCCTAAAGTGAGAAAAAACAAAGAAGATAGGGGCCAAATAAGAAATATGAATCCGAATACTAGTGCCGACAAAGTTTCTCCCAATCAAGATACCAATACCTACTACTTTTCCATCGAGGCAATGCTGCTTTTTTCCATCAGTTTATCAGCCAACCGGTCATCTCTTTCAGGACAAGTAAGTAAGCAAGCAAGGAAACTATCTAGACTACCTATCTAGGAAATACTGGAATGGATGGGATGGTTAAGAAAATCCGAAACTACAACAAACAAACATACTCATTATGTGTCTTTCATTTTATTTATCTACGGATTGTGGCGTGATCATTTTATGATTCCCTTTGATAGTTCTTTTTGTTTGTTTTCTTGGGCTTTTGCTTTTTCTCTCGAGGGATGTGACGAGCTGTGCTGTGCTGAGTTGAGCTGAGCTGAGCTGTATTGTGATTGATATGTGCAGTCTAGTCTACTCACGCGCATGATTTCTTTCCTTGCTTATTTTCCTTCTCTGTGCATGTCAACCTTTTACTCTGTCCAGGTTCATTTCATTTCGTTTCTTGTTTTATTAGGTATTAGGTATATGCATTGACTTAGGGAGTTCTGTTGAATTGATATCAATATTTTCTTTTCCTTTCTTGCTCTACTGTACATTTAGGTATTTTCAGGCTGGACTAAACTATTACATACTTGTGTGTTATTTGCATTATTATTGACTAGTTAGGTAGTCCACATCGTTGAGATAACCCATTGGATTTCAAGAGAGGTGATGTGATGAGTCTTGTCTCTCTTTTTTTCACTTTTCTTTTTTCATTTCTTTTTTTTTATGTGGGCGCATGTGATCTTTATTCTACTTTTCTCCTTCTTTCCCTCCCTCCCTCTCTCTTTCTTTTCCCCTTAACTATTATGATACTAAAATTCCTTATTCATACTCATAGGCATAGGTACCTACATAGATAGATAGATAGAATGTAAGTAAGTAAGTGGGTAAGTAAATGTCCCTTCTTGATTGAATGTATCACTTGCCTCATTCTTTCCTGTTCTTGTTTTCTCATCTTCTCATCCTTCCTTTCTCATTTGACACGTTTGCATCTTCCTGCTTCACAGACGCAAGTAAGCAGGTAAAAGACACACCTTAAGAAAGGAGAAAGGAGAAAGAAGAAAACTAGAAACAGATCGCAAAAAGCAACGATAGTTATCCATACTGAATACAACGGGAACGACAAGCCCGAAAAAGAAAAGAAAGAAAACGAAATACCATTGCGGGATATTTGGATATATATATAGAAAGAGATATGTATGGAGACAAAGAATAAGTTCAAGCAAGATCAAATCGTAAGGTAAGTGTAAAGAAAGAAGTAGAAGAAGATAAAATCATAGAGCAGGCCGAACTGAGAGCCGATTCTGGTAGGGTCTCAGAAGCCGAATTGCTATCTATTTGTTCGTGGAATCGAACACAGAAATAAATAGGCAAAGCACTTGCTACGCTGGGGTATTTAGGAATGATCTGGAATTGCAATCTGTCATGACGGATGGCATGGGAAGGTATAAACGCCGTGGGTATGAGGAACGAAAGTGAGGAATGAGGCGGGCTGAGTTGCACGAAGGTATGATGATCCTAGAAAGAAAAGAAAATACGATGGAATCGCCCGAGACTGAATGTTTGTCTCTGGAACGAGACAAATAGAAAGAGAGGAGGAAGGGAAGGAAAATGAAAGAGACACCGGGCATCATATAAAAAGGGAAGGATCGATACCTTAGGAATCGGCCCCATAGATACGGCTACCCACAGGGGAAGTTCCAGCCAGGGGCAATACCAGAATAAACGGGCTGCTGTGGCTCATGCAGATGCAGATTGTAGTCTCCGAGGATATCAACGGACATGCTGGCCGGAGTTGGCATATGGTGACTTCCGGGTTCGGTGGTCATACCGGAGGGAAGGCGACTTTTCATCAGCTCTCCACCACAGTTGTTTTCCATATAGCAGAGATAGGCGTGATCATGATCGGACACCGAATGGACAGGTTCCTGGCATTTAGTCTCAGCAGGATGGCCCGCCGGCATCATGGGTGGCCGGGGTATGGCCATGCCGTGGAAGGATTGATAGTTGTGATAGTGGCCCGGAGGATTGACTGGCTGGAGCGGCGCATAGTCCCACTTCCAGGATGCGCCAGATTTGGGCGAAAGCTTAGTGGGGCTGCAGTTACTGGAAGAGGGTTCCGGTGGAGTCGCGGGCTCCGGGGATGGATCGGTCGTTGGACTGCAACCGGTCGAGGTGGACAGAAACCGCAGATACTGAAGGTCTTCGGTGTCTTCATCTGGCTCCTCCGGGTTCTCCTCGGCCTGCTTGATTAGCCCTAGACGGTCCAGGATCGCATGCGTCAGTGGATATCCATCAGGAGCTTCCACGAGAGGCTCCCCGGGAAAGTCTTCTTTGTTGATGCAAAGCTTGTACAGCCGCTGCAGAGCTTTCACGACAAGAGAGTGGTGCGATTCAAGCATCTCGACGAATCTAAAGCCACCACGCCAAAGTTGGGTCAGCGTCACCTCAACGCGAGGAACAACAATAACAAGCTGGTTTCTCACCCTCGCGAGTAGACCTTCGTCTGAGTCGCCTTCCTCTCTCGGAACAGACAAGGATGATTGTAGGCCGAACAACGGTTACATGGTTGCTTCCCATCACACTAGCATGAATGAGTATGACTGGCCCATCGAGTGATTTGACGAGGCCGAAACAAGTGCAAATGAACATCCAGGTGCCTCTACTGCTTCACCAACCTTGGTTTTCTTGACTCTGCACCGATCACAGGCCTTCAAGACATGCTTGCGTTTGACTCGAAAGACCCGCTGGTCGTGCTTCTCGTCCCCTAGACCCGCGCGCGACTCCAGATTGGAGAGCGACGATATCGTCGAGAGGTCATACATGGCATCTGGAAAGCCAGGAATGTGGGATTTAGGACGAAGCTTGGGTTGTTTGGACATCATGGTAGACATCTAAATGATGTGACAAAAAGCACAAGCAAGTGGAATAGAACAATTGCACGTTTCCTGGGTGATCAACAGGTTCAAAAGGGTTGCAGCGAGGAGCCCTGACTAATCTATATCCCACGTTGTCAAGGAATCAGGAGGGGTTTAGAAGAATTAAAAAAAAGTTTCTTTTAATAAATAATCAAAGCAAAGGAGGGGGAGGGGTAGAAGTGGGATCGCTTTGAGAGAAGCAGGTGGGGGTTTGGCCAGATATTCGTAAGGGGTAAAGAATTTAAAATATGAAAAGAAAAACAATTAAAAAGAAATAAGACCAGAGAGGCTGAGAGATCAACTTGATATCATGTTTATCAAGAGAAGCGATGCCCCGCATAAACACCGACAGCGCGACACCCACGAGAATGACTTCCCCACCTCGCGATGTACACCGAAGGCGACTTGAGGGTGACGTGGATTGCGCTCTGTCACGATATCAACCGGTACGGTCGCTCGACGTCCCTCGGACCTTTGGAGCGATGGCAGCCTGGCAGGTACATCAGGGGTGACCCCGCGGGTTAATTTGGTCGAGCTAATTTCTTTTTCTATTTTTTTCTTTTCTTTTTTCTCCCCCTTGTGTCGGTTGTTGTTCTCAGATACAGGTGATCAGCTTCGCTGGCTTTGACATGCCAGAGGGTCATGCCTGTCAACGGTCCGACCCGTCACCGCGAGGGAATTATAAAAAAAAGATTAAGAAAGAGGGGAAAAAATTTCATCGGTAGTAGCCGGACATTACCCTTGTCATTTGGGCAGCGACACGCAAAGTAAGCATTCAACTCACATCACCTGGCGGGAAAAATGGTCAGTGACCCTCGTTGCCCGGAATCGGAGAGAGAGAGCGCGAGGACGGGACAAGCAGCAAGAGAGACGGAGAGAAGAAAGACCATGCAGGTCTCATCCCGTAAGCTGGCGGCACAGGAGTTGATTTCCCTGATGGCGGCGGTGCTTGCATCACATCACCGACAGGAGGAGAGGCACATATCCAAGGCATGGAACATGTGCTGCAGGATCGAGGATGGTTTTGAATCGGTGAAAAGAGAATCAGCTTATGCCTTTCTTGGGCGCGTATCGGCTGCTTGAGCCACTGTCATTGGCGCACGGATGACCATCATCATCACTTTTAGAACTATCGTATGCAGAGGGTGAGCGCGTGCCTCCTCTTGACCCAGCGCGACGCCAAGCGGGCGAGCAATCCAATAGGCGGTTTTCGTGACATGCTGTCAAGGCAAATCTTGTCCGATAACTGCGCTATACAGGTCACCTTGATTGCATCTGGAGCTGCACAAATCCTTCATTAACTCTCGCTCGGATAATCACCGCGGCAAGATCGGATCGAGTTCAGCGCTGCCTTTAATTCTTTCCTACCAAGATTTCGTCACACAGGATTTCAACGACACTGGGTTGCTGCGTACAGGAAGCAGTGAGAAGATGTGCTTATTGGTCGCTGCCCCTAAGATTTGCATCCCTGAACACATTTCCGACAGGGGATCGCTGTCGTTCAAGAACCAGTATAGTAGGCGAGGCATTAATGGAGTTTCTTTTTCTTATGCTTTTTCCTCGAGGCTTGCATATCATCTGACGGGCAGATGTGTTGAACAGCCACTTTGACCGGTAGATTATTCAGAGTCAGTCGCGCTAGCGGCCCTCTTGACGAGATTGGATCCAAATGTGCCGCCAGAAGAGCTCAGCCCGACGGACTCGAAATGAGCTGGGGTGCACAGAAAGGTGGCACCAAAGTCTTGACTTCGTATATATCTATGCACGTCCCGGTACGCCAGGCAACGCCCTAGTGTCTGGTGTCGGAGAGTAGGTCCTTGACTGCGTCCAAAAGATAGAGCGTCAAGGGTGTGGGGGAAATAGATGACAAGACAAAACAAAACAGGGATCGCGAAGGGGGAAACAATGAAAAGCAGAGAAAGGGCCACTCAACAATCCCATTTCTCAAGACGCATGTCACTTCTGATAGATAGATTTCTGACAGAGCAGGGATGAGCATCCTTCGAACCCATTCCCCCCTCCTTAGTACAGGTGCTAAGAACCAGGGCCAGGGCAGCCGTACCCCTCTCTCTTTCTGCCCGTCTTGGGGCCTGGGGGAGCCTCTCGGGGGACCAATGGAGGGGACACGGCGAGGGAGAATGAGCGTGTGCAGGGACAATAGGTCCGTTCACACCCTGTCGGAGGGGGAGAGAAAGACAAGGCGGAGGGGTTATTGCTGGCATCTCCCTCCACCGCGGGCCTCGAGCCCTCTCGCTGAAGAACTGGAGTACCTCCCTCGTAGGTAGAATGTATTCGCTACTGTATAATCCCAGGAGCCTTTTCAGAGTTGCGACGGGATAGAGAGAGAGATTTGCAGTTGATATGGGTTGTCCTCCCAATCCCTAAACTTCTTTTGTTCTTCTCTCGTTGTCTGAAATTTCTCCATGTTCGTTGTTCTCTTCACGATGCCCTCCATGAAATCGATCAGTCCATACGTATCATTGGGTTTCACTCGCGCGACCGACCGCATGGCGATTGGAGGAAGGAGGACAACAGTCCGGGAGGTGGTGAGAAGGAGAGAGAAAAAAGAAAAAGAAAAAGAAAAAGAGAGGGAGAAGGGCGAAGAGGCGGAGGGGACCAATGGCGGGAGCTTTCCCCTTCCAATCTCTTCCAGTTCGCCTTCCTTCCTTTCATTTCTCCCCTCCGCCGTCCTTCAATTCCTCGCACAGAAAAATAATGGTTACAGGCCTCCGTGGTCTCCTGATCTCGGGTCCCCCTTGTAAGCCCATCGATCCTTCTTCATCTGTCAAAAGGCATCATCCTGGTATTCCTTGCATGTCATGACATAACCCGGCATATTTCTCTTACACAGGGCTCATGATGTGGAAGGGACTAGACAAGGAAGAGAGCTTGGGCTTCAATTCTGATCGGTGAGTCAGATGCTGAGGCAGGACAGGACGGTGTGGTTAGAAGCCCGAGTAAGTCCATAGTAGGGACTATTCCCTTCCCCCGCGGTCTATACGGAAATGCGTGGAGACGATAGTGCTGATGCTTAAACAAAGATTATCAGTGCATACAGCCGGTCTTCTTCCCCCCTCCTTCCCTCCCCCCTACATGAGCCTTGCCTAGACAGAAGGCTTCCATGCATATACATACCGACAGGCAATATAAGCAAGATGACGGGATGAACTCGGAGATCATCTCACCGACAACTGCGCTGGAGACAGGGACCGCCACTTTAGGCAAAGACCATAGTGGGTACATGACAATGTCTTGTTCAGCGCGCAGGGGACCCGGCCAACAAAACACTTTGGATATACATGTAACCGTGCAGCCATTCCCTCGCGCCCTCCGTCAGAATGATAACCAGTGCCCAAGACCAAGACTAACGGCCGAAGTCTGATGCCGGAGATAGACTTAATCTGCCAGATATGAGACAAGGAAAAGACGCCCTCCTTGGCAATAAGATACCTGATAATTTAACACGAACAATCTCAATGCTGACCCAATGACCGAATTGGCGAGAATCGGAGTAACCGTCCATCCATTGGTGCTCACTAGAAGCCGATTCAGACCCCGGTTCAAAAGCAAACAATCAAGGCTAATCAGAAATAAGTAAGACACAACGGCAGAGACCTGCGGGAATTGGGTGACCAGTGATAATAATAACCAGAATAAGAAATGAAAAAAATGAAAAAAAAAAGTCAAAAGAAGTAACACGCATTCATGGTCATAACAGGATATTCTACCCGGCCAGTTGAAGACGTCGACGGACAAGGGAGAAAAAGAGAATAAATGGTAAAAAAAAAAATACAGAGAATAACTCTTTCGTTGCCTTGAGGATAGAACAAAGCTAAGAGATGTTTTTTTGACCCCCTGTCCTTCATTTGATTTTACAAGCGGTCATCTGGAAGAAGAATGCTAGCCTCACCGGCGGCTAGTAAGTCGAAACTCTCCTCGCTGGTTGCTGTCGTGGGAGAACTGGCATTCACGCCTTCCGGGAAAACATACTCCTTCTTCTCCCGACTGGATGGAACATCCTGGTTCCCTGAATACGCCTGCCACGACTTGTCTCCAATCCACTCCATTCCATCGCCGGCTCCATGAATGTCCGCCTTGCGACGGGCCTTCTCGCGCTCCATGAGAGGAAGAATAGCCGGCTCCGCGGCCTTTGACTCATTTTCGCCACGGGGGAGAAGAGCAAGGTTGCGACGATGCCATTCGCCAAGGAACATGCCGTCGACGTCTACTTCCCGTCGCACATCCAACCATTCATCCATATCCTGACCGTAGAGCTCGCGCAGCTCTTGCGGCCCTGTCGTCTTGAAATTCTTCGCCCAATGTGGTTTCGCCCCCATCTCGCGCATAAGCCACTCGAACGCCTCGTAATACCTCTGCGTACACGGAGGATCCCGGAGATACGGTCGATAGAGAGTCGCGTTGAGATACAGGGTGGGCCCGTCGGTGCATGTAGGGTCTAGGAACGGGCGAGGGTTGCGATTGTG